AGGATTTGGGCAAAAAGTGTTGAAGATATTGAAGACGATGAAAGGTATCGCGAAATGGTTAAAAACCAAGCGTGTATCGGTATTTTTATCATTTTCACCGCGAAAAAAATGCATTGGGTGATTAAAGACAAAGGTGAATCTTGGACCGGTCAATATTTTCGTGACATTATTTTAATGCAACACGTATTTCCATTCCTCACCGACGAGGAAAACGTAATTGATCTGGATAATGTGATATTTGTTCACGATAAAGCACCGTGTATGCGAGCAAACATGACTCAACATCTGATTAGAGATAACAAAATCGAGTTTTGGGGCAATGATATTTGGCCTGGTAATTCGCCCGATCTCAATGCGGCGGAACATATTGGATCAATAATGAAAGATGAAGTTGAACAAAAAATGTTATCGGAAACTGGACATAATCGATATAGTGAAGACACACTTAAAAAGCACATTCGGGCAGTAAAGAGTGCTAATGGTCGTCATACTGATTATTGATTGTACTCAATAAATAATAAGAAAATAAACAGTTGTACAACATATAGTTTAGCCCCGAACTTTTTCGATGAACTGATTTTATAATATTTTATGTCGATAAAAATCGTAACGTTTGATAAATTAATACAAGAAAGTTCTTCAAAGTCTTACTATTTACTATCACTAAACCCCCTTTTTCACGAGCTTTCATTTGGTATAAAATTCATGATATCTCCGATTCGAGATCATAGTGTTACCCCCCTGGAATAATATTATTTACCACCCTGTACATAGATATGTTCGTTTCTATTGATTTAACGTTAATCATTTGTTAAAACATCATAAATCATATAAATATATCTATTATAATTCGTCTTCTTCAATATTAACTTTGTTAATAAACAAAAACAAAAATGATGAATGAATCATAATATAAATGTCATTCATATTAGGTTAATCGAAGTTGATTTTTCAGCCATATTCTCTTCTTAGTTTGCTTCAATTCATCAGAGTATCATCTAGTGATAGACAATATGATATAGTTAACTAGAAATTTACATTATTTTACAAATTATTTTCATAATATGAATTTTCCTTTTAATGTTAGTATGTTTTTCAATTTTTATATTGAAATTCATTTTGTGGTAACACTTATATACGCACCTATCATTTATTTTTATGAGTGTCATCATCTATGTGATAGATAATTTTCAACATAGTCAAACAACAACTGGCATTCAGCAAAAAACCACATTAACTTTCAAAATTGAAAAACTAAAGAATGACTTCTGTAAAAATATTTATTCAATGTAAAAACTGCGTTATCTATCTCAGTTTTTTCAACGCAAAATCGTAATAACACAATAAACTCGTTCATTGACGATAGGCAAGATAAAAAGACATGAGAAGCAGAACATAGATAATATAAAAAAGATGATAAATATTATCAGTATTTATTGTAAAATTTATTTCAAAACAACGAAAATATTGATCGATTTTTATTCTACTACTTATTTTATCGTTCTGTTGTACTACAGTCAAATGTTTATCTAGAGCATACTTCTACTAAAGTGATTTATTTGTTAAATTGTGATATCGTAAAATGTTTTTTGTATATGTTAGATCACTATTATTTTAAAAGTACATATTTTTAATTAACATATGAATCTGAATATTCATTTGAACTTTTTCGTGAAACGATTCATTTCACTCTCTGTCCTTTTAAAATGAAACGCATTGTGAATGGCGAGCTGGAGCACGTTCCTGTACAATTCGTTGTTTATTTTAAGGGAATCATAAAAAATATTTTCTCATGAACAAAAAAAAGATAAATTGACTTATGTGAAGCCTAACATCATTACAGCTTGACGATCTGCTTGTTTCTCAATTAGTTGAAGAATATGAACGCAAATATGTTACAAACTGAACGTATCATTTCAGAATGTGTTCCAACGTATTGCAGTCTTCTAGGCTAAGATCAAATTTTAGTATCTGTTCTCTTTAGTTTTGAAATTTGGGTACTAGCTCAAAAAGGTCAGACTCTTTCAACCGATTGTTGGCACATCGCTGGCATCATTAGAGTTGACTCTTGAGGGTTTAGGTGTGTAGGAAAAGAATACAAATCCACAACTCACCCCACACCCACGTTCGAAAAAAAAAGAATTCAGAATAAAATCATAAATATTCACTTTTTATTTTTATTAAAGATAATAAAATGTATAACGAAAAAGCATTTATTAGAAATACATACAGATTCTGAACAACTGAAAAAACATTAATTATATTTGTTAATTTTTATTTTTCGTTCTAATATAATAATGTATTCCATGTTAACAATCGTTTTCTTGTCTTGCTTTTCAAACTGATATTTAATGAATATACTCTCATCTTTTCTTTTTTTGTCTTAATCAATAGATAATTTAAATATTTTAGTGTATCTTGTACGATTAACACATTCAATATTCGAAAATACAAAGTGTCAGGAAAATCATTCATCAAAAGTTTTTTCATATATCTGAGCTGTTTTATGGAATATTATCAATAAAAATTTATACAATTATCAATAAATATCTCAAGTTTTTATTGATACGAGGGATTCTCGATGTTATTCTTCAAAACTATTATCTTTAATCGAAATATAAAAATTTTGCTATTTTTCTAACATATGAGTAACTCAACATATGATGATAATTTTTTTCTTTGATGTTTGTTTTTCGTTAGTTACAGATTGTGGAATTCTACAAGAATATGTAATTAGTTTTAATAAATATTTGTGATTATGATAGAATATTATTATTCTCTTTATTCCCTCGACTGAAAGGAGGGTCGTACAAAAAAAAATAGTTTGTGTGTTTGTGTGTTTGTGTGTTTGTGTCAGGGTCAAAAAAACATCCTATTGCAAACGCATATTTACACCATGCTCCATCGGCCATTCAGAGGTTTTCGAGGGTGGGCTATCCACTAATCATATTTTTTCGCTTGTGCCAATCAGCCAATCAGGGGTTTTCGA